AGATAGATAGATAGATAGATAGATAGATAGATAGATAGATAGATAGACATATATGTTTCAGCTATCTATATAGAGAATAACTTGGTTTTCGGGGCCGTCAGTGCTTTTTATTTCTCTTCTGTGTGTCAGTTGTATCTGTTCAAAACAACCTGTGTGCAAGAAGACACAACAGTGGTGGGGATGCAAGGAAAGAGTGGCTATAAACCAAGGGTAATTGGACGAGTAATCAATATGGGAATAAAAAAAAAAAAAGCAGCTCAGTGGCAGTGCCAAACCACTCTGGTAATTTACTACTACAGGTAGGTCAACAGACATATGGGTGCACCCAAATCAAATGACATCCGGAAAAGCTGTAGATGGAATAGCTCATCTTCATCTTCTATTCAGACATGTTAAGTGCCATTTGTGTGTTTGTCTTTCTATGTTTGAAGAGAGCATCTGAAAGTGCACTAAGGATAAGTAGGAAATGGAAAAGAATGTTTGAAGTGGAAATGCATGTGTGTGTGTGTGCACTGGTCAGCGTGCTATCAAAGATATCCACCAAAGGTTAGAAGAAAGGCCAAACAGCCTTTCATCTTCAAAGAGCTGCACGGCTAAAAATACCACTGCCATTCACAAAAGAGCAGAACAAAGAATGTGTGTGTAGTATTCTTTAGCGATAAATGTTCTCCCTTCACATACTGTATTCTAGGAATGACCAGTGCTATATGGACAATGTGAGTGTGGAAGTGTTTTCACTCATCATGGTTGCACGTGCAGCCACAGAGGGAGTTGGACCTGCCATGGAAATGGACCACTATCCTAATTCATGGAAACATACACAGTGACTGAAGACTTCCTCCTACTTCCATCTACATGAATACCTACTATGTCTGAGTCACTTCACACCAGAGACACAGCTGAGCTGCTGCCATGTAAAACATAGGCTCCGTTGGATTGATAGTTACCACATCACTTTGAAAAATAAACTGGACCTTGCACGAAGACAAGTCAATATTGGAATGGCCATGAAAGTAAACTCATTATTTCCATACGTTTCTGTTACTAATATCTCATGTCAAAGCAAGGTTTAAACTAATAGGTTTAGTCGGACAACACAGACAGATAAGGGCCCAAAAGTGAATGTTTGCCTATAATACACATTCTATATTTAATTTAAATCAACATGTCTCAAAGGAAAGAAACATAACTTTCAATCTTTTTAACATCAATCAAACAGCAAAACACCTTTGAAAAAAAAAAAATTAAACTGCTGGTTTATTTATTTCGTAGTTGTATTCAATGTTGTACCAAAACTCATTCATATTTTTGTTCATATTGTTGTTGAGTCTGTTTTTTATTTTATATACAAACT